TCTCACCCTAATCAAGCCATTCTGTGCCCATAGATATATCTGGCAGTCACCACACGATTTGTTTAGACCCAGCACCTCTGCCCATAAGTCACTTTCTCCTAAGGGATTCCTCCCTTTTAATGTTTCCCAGCCCCTTGTATCTATGACCTTCTTCTTCTTATTTAGTTAATTTATTCTCAGGGACTTTTTCAGATATACAAGTTCAAATTCATTATAATCTGTTATTCCTTTTCTCCCTTTGCCTTTTTTATAGTCATCTCAGTAAGTTCTCTGTCCTTCTCCCTCAACTCCATTTTTGAATCTATGTAATAACCTTACTCACATTTAATAAGAGTTAATGTGATAACATTGAATTAAAAACAAGCCACAAGAATGAAAGTAAAATTGAAAATAATTGAAAAATCCAGTGCTATGAGTCTTTAAAAATTTTTGAAAATATCTAACAATACCTTCAAATATTCTTACCAGCTTCTCATTATCCTCTAATTAAGACTTCTTTGTTAATAATTAGATAAACCAGGATGGAAGACTAATAGCAATAACAAACAGCAATATTTGAAATTACAAATATATTTAATGCCATCATTCATTCCCCTTCTGGCTAATCACTATGGTAACTGTACTGTTGTTTATACATCTCATTGTAGATATGCGATAATATTGGGCTAATAGCTTTCAAAGGACTAGTGTGATACCATCATTTATGTCACTGTTACTATGAGAAAACACGTTCCAGTAACTCACAAATGAACTTTGAGGACCAAAAAAACTGTGAGTTGGTGACTTTCTGCAACTTGTTTATTTGAAACACAGGTAACAAATATGCCAACTGCAACAGAAAGAATTGTTCAGAATCATCTAGCATGGATTATCTAAAATTTTTTAAGACTATGTATTCTTTTTAGAGATTTAAAGTTGACCTTAGAATTAGATGGGAACTTATACATCTAAAGAGTCTTAAACAACATAGTCCCAGAGAAGGAAAAAAACTATAAATGATGGGATATATATTAGAATCTCACACACATGCTTAGATTTTCTAAAGTAGCTTCACTATTTGAGGTAAGGGGATTGGCAGAGCTAATTAGCATTCTCTTTAAAAAACTTCTTAGCTAACTGTAAAATAAATAGTTCCAGCTTCAGTTGCTTTCTTCCTTTTTGATCACATCAAAGAGTTTTTTTTAAGTATTATAAAACTCCATTTCTATATAGGAAAAAAAGCCTTTATTGTTTATAGGGCTTACTGCAATAACAGAATTTCAGTTAACCTCAAATAGTGTCCAAACCATCTAAATAATGATTTTGGACAGAAAAGGAATTAGAAAGGAACCAAAGGATATGGTTCCATGAATTCTCATATTTAAAATGGAGAAAAATGGAATATATAACTAAAGAAACAAAGGCCTCTTTTTTTTTTTTTCATTTTGGCTACCTTGCCCATCCTCATACAAAATTAAAAGAAAAAATTTCTAGAAGGCCAATTTCTAGAGTCTTGTTGTTGATAGGTTCAAATTTCATTCCATCATTTTCTGTGTCAGTGTATTATCTTTTATTTTTGAGATTTAGAAAAATTTCTGCAAAAGTACTGCTATATTAAATACATTTATTTTCAGTAGTAAACATAATACAATGTTTTAAATCACCCTGAATTTCAATGAAGCCCTTAAAAAATACACTTGCTGATTTTGAACATTGTTATATAGTATGAAACAATCAGCACCCAGAAACTTATCTTTCTGATTCAGCACCTAAAACCCTGAGTATGGAATTAAAAACACAAAGCACTTTCAGTCACTTCTGCATGAACAAGGAAAGTTCTTTCCAGGCAGCCTCATGAATAAAAAGATATTCTAAGAAATACTGGCTTCGCCTCACTATCTTTGGAAACATAACTTTAAAAATGCCATTTTTAAACTTTAATAATAATATATGGAAAATAGTCCTGAAGTTGCCCTAACCAAATAGACTACATTGTAAGTGTAGCCAATGCACACACACTTAAGCAAATAATCCCCTTTATTGCTTATCTTTCCCTTCACATTTATACCACATATGATCTATATCATTGGGCTTTCTTCAGAAAAGTAACAAATCAATACCAAACACTTCCAAAAAAGGAAGAATGTAGTAAGCAACAAATCAAGTATTTTTTTAAATATATATTTTTAATAAACATAGTTGATATAGAATCATGAACCCACAAACTACTGGTGGCCCCCTTAAGGTCCCTGCAGAATTATTAAGCTGTCTTTCATGACCTTAGAATCACTGGGGAGGTAGTTACATTCCTCTTCTATGACCAGGATTCCGAATAGGCTGTTGAATGAATGGAGCCTGTATCCTGTCCCACAAAAACAAGGACACAAAACTAAACTATGCACCATTCCATTGCATATTTGTTTACTCTTGTTTTACACAAAGTAGAGAAGTGGCTTTGAAAAGTTGCCCTGGCCATGCTTTTTTTCTGAGCAGCAGATTGAAATACTTCAGCAATATAGAATGAACACATATTATTGCAGCCATTCATTCTCCCCCTCCATAGAAAGCTGTTCATGTAGCTGACTGTATGTGTGAGTGACTGTGTGTGTGAGAGAGACACATGTACAAGTTGAGATCAGACACTATTTTAACGAGCTAGATATTTGGTGGCACATTCTCAGAGTCCACTGATATTTCAGCTAAGACAACATTTTAGGATGTCTTTTAGGGGGTTCCTTGTCTTTCCAAGGTTACTATGATAGATATAACACCTTGGCTTTTTTTTCAGGTGACTTAAGTGAAAATAACCATTATGTCACATCTTCAGAGTAAGAGCAATTCAGAGGTGAAATTCTGGAATACAATATCAGAAATACAAACAGATTATTGCCAAAGAGATTGGCAACTAAGTTGGAAGACCACTGACATGCAGATGGATTTCTGGTTAAGGTTCCTACCTGCTTTCCCAAGGTCACTGAACCATTAAAATAACAAGGTTTGAAAAGAATTTAAATAACGACTATAGGTAGAAAAAATTATTTGCTTCACTTTAATTTTTGAACTAGTGGCAATATCTGTACAAATTCTCTTGCAAGGGTCTGATACAAGGCAACTGCATCCAGTGTCACCTCTAATTCCTACCAGAGCTAAGATAATATCCTTCATTAGATAAATTTGGCAAACCCGGCGATAGTGCTAATTCAGCTCCAACCCAAGTCTTTGTTACAGTTCTCATTTCAGTTTAGGCAGCTCAGATAAGCTTATCACAGGGCTTTCAACTGACATTCTGGGTTGGCACAATAGACCATATTACCAGGGAGGATCATTAATGAGCATTAGTAAATTTTACTACCTTCAGAGAAGACACTAGCTCTGTAGTTTGCAAGGCAAGAAGTACAATGTTAGATCTTCCAATTGCCCATATGTAACTGGAATCTAATCAGAATGAGTACAGATGCATTTTTATGAAAAGCTACAAGAAATTTATCTGGTGAAATACAGTGCTTCCATATAGAAGATTTAAAAAAAAGAAAACTGAAGAAGATAATCCACATAGATTTTTAATTGAAAAGTACATAAGTGATGCTCTCTTTGCCTTACCTTGTTATTAAAAGATTAAACTCATTTTGAATTAATGAAAAATGGTTTAATCTTAAAGTGCTAGCAGTCTCAATTTATTTAGGCCTGCCTATATTTAAAGAACTAGCTTGAGATCCCTTTACAAACAAGATCAGGTTCCATAACAAAACGATACCCAATCTCTCTTATAAGGCTATTTTCCAAAATCTATGGGTTTTGACACTGGAATTCTTCACTCCCCCAAATCACACTAACAACATTTGACATGATGACAGAGAGAGCAAAAAGAATTCATTTCTGTCAAATAAGTACACTGCTGTTTTTTTGAAACCATCCTCCCCTTAATTCCATTTTGGTAAATTTCTAAGGAATATTTAAAATTGGAAAGACAGACTTTGGCTTAAGAGGTGGCCTCTCTGCCATTTTCATGGCTGATTTGAGACCCATTATGTACTCAATTCTGCACTGTAAAATCCAGGCTGGGGACAAATTTCTGCCTGTCATCTTAGGAAAGGCCAGGAGTTTTGCACCATCCTGTAGTGTGAAAACAGAAAATCAAAGCTCGCATAGAGCTGACTGCTTCTTTCCTGATCTGCTTGCAGCTTTTTTTGAGGCAATCTTGGCTGTCACTATCTCAGCCTGGGAAGGGTAATTTGGTAGAATAATATATAGTTTAAATAGCATCTCCCCAGGGAAAGTTCCTCCTTACACTTAATATTGAATGCAAAAAGATAATCAGCAAGTAATCATTTGATGCTTGGCTAAGAACCATTGCATGGGGAAAGCTTTTAGGAAGCACATTTTTTTTTTTTTAACCTGATAAGATCCTGATTCAGGAGCCAAGAGGCCCAGATATTTTCCTTATATTGTTCATTCTTTGCAATGGCATAAATGTAAAACTTCAGTTCATGGACCAAATTTGCTGTAACCATCACTCTAATTATATGATGTAAATTGCAAAGACAAAAATATCTTATAAGATTTTTTTTTAATTTTTAAGCAGCTCATTGAAAATGACAGTATGGATAACTCTGTAAATGACCTCTCCTGTCTAATGTCAATTTCAGAAAACAAGTTTCCATTGTAAATGTTTAATCAGTGTAGTTCCAGGAACCCAGCAAAGAAAACCTTATCTTCTCTCCCAACTTATTTGCTCTGCAAGCTCTTTCCTAGCTCTGGCTCAGCTTCCTACAAATACTTTAGGCTTTTCTCTCTCAAAGGAGCTGGGAGCTCTCTGTAGGTTCTGAGCTAGACAGAAGCCCTGTGGTTGATTCCATTAGTCCAAGCCCTGGTTCTCTGCAAGGAAACTGCAGCATTTATGCTTGCAAAACCCTGGCAACCAGGTTCTAGAACGGCCACCAACACTGGCTGCACACATTCTTCCGTGCTGTTTTGCCCAAATCTTGCCCGAAGCCAGTCAACCTCAGCAGAAAGCATCCTACCTTCCATCATGGTGGCAGAATTGCATTCCTTAATTTCCAAGGAGTCTGAAAAAACACAGGAGGATACGCTTCCAGGTCTCAGTTAAGTCCTCACAACGCCGCTGCTGAGGTCTGCAGTGTCAGCTGCCGAAGCCAAAGGAGACAAGTGTTAACCCGAAAGACAGGCCATGGATGCTTGCTGGTGCTGCTTCACCTACAGGCTCCCAGGAAGATGCTGAGAGAGAAAGGCAGAGGAACAGCAAGCCGGCCGAGCTGCACCGCCTGCGCTGCCTCGGCCAATCCCTTCAGCTCTGGACCGCGTCACATGGTAGCCAGCCTGCATCTCCTGACACAATACCCCCGGAGAGCACACGGAACCTATTTCCCTTCCCCATTCCTCTCCACCCCAGCGCCTCCCGTTTGTCACCAAATACAGAGCCCCTTCCCCACCTGGTGACGCACTTCCCCCCGCCCCTCCGCGTCTTCTTCTTAAGCCTATTGCAGCGCCTGGGTGCCCGAGATTAATTATCAGGCGCTGCCACCTTAACAGCGGACTCTAGCATGAAAGGAGCACCTAAGTGGCTCGCTGCGGCGGGGATTTTTTTTTTTTTTTAAGAAAAACTTCTTAATAATTCCGTGCAGCCCGAAGTCTTGGCAACACGCTTTTAACGCTCCCATTCCAACCTCCTTTTGCCCTGAAGGAATGCCAAATGTCAGTATCCGTGGCTTCTGCGCACATCTGTGAATCAGTCTCTCTCTCTCTCTCTCTCTCTCTCTCTCTCTCTCGCTCGCTCGCTCGCTCTCGCTCTCTCGCTCTCACCTCCATTCAAGAGAGAAAAAAAGCAATCCGTTGACGTCACATCATAAACAATTATCCCCAAAAGGATGATGCAGAAAAAAATTTCACCCCAGCTGCCTTCGAGAGAGCCAGGGAATTAATTGCGCATGACATGCCGAAGGGCTGGGAACTGTCATTAAAACAAAGAAACAAAAGAACCCACCCGAGTGGGGCTCTGGAATCAAACTGGCAACGCTTGAGATCATTTCTGGGGCGGGAGGCGGGAGAGAGGGGAGAAGGCTGGGAGCGGAGGCCTCAGCCGGACCGATGACAGCTGTGCACGCCGGCTTCCTCCCACTTTAATTTGGGCCAGCAGGCCAGGCCGCAGACAGACCCCAGGACACCTCTGGACAACCGGTTCGAGTCCCGCGGCCGCCGCGTCCTCCCTGCCGAGCGCGCACGTGAGCCGCCTGGCTTCCCCAGGTGGGGAGCTTTCTCGCAACCGACTGTGGCTACAGCTGCCAACT